ACATTATTTTGTTGTTATCCATAAGAGTGTTGACATGGATCTCTGCGAGACGGGAGAGGTGGCCCTGCCCGGGTGGTTCATGATGGCCGTGTCACTGTCAGAAACAGCCAGTAACCACTGAGAACCTGAGTTCCAATCCTGGTTTCAGCCGCCCGCGATGAAACCGGATTTTCCACTGTTGCGATTTGATGGTCTCAGCACAGTCGCTCGCGACTGTACACAAAATAAATCCGCATTTGTATTTTTTTATTACGACTGCGAACTTTGTTTTTAACCCGTGGTTACGCCACGGTAAGGGGAACAGCGTCGAGGTTATAATGAATGGATACACTAGCAAGAGGAACGCGAAAAGGAAGAGAGAAAATGTGACATATTTTTTTTATTACATTTTGGAAGTAAGAAGAAAGGGGATGGAAAGCAACGGAGATGTGGCTGCAAAGGGTCAGGCGAGATGACAGAGAGGAGGATGCCGCCCGATAAAGGGCCTCGACGCTGCTGCAAAGATGAGCAGCGTCTGTTTTCACGGGGGGCCGGGGGACAGCAGTGCTGTTCAGAGTGTGAGCGGCCACACAGCAGTGGTTTACGGGAAAGTTTGAGCAGAATTGTATATAAGATTACTCGACCCCCCCTCCCATACTCAATGGCTGAATTAATTAGGCCCAATCTCAGCACCGGAGCATCTGAGTTACAAGCTCAGAGACAAGGAAAAAGGAATGCACCACGTACATGTGGGGTCAATTCCTAAACCTTAGACCAGTCTTAAATACCTGAGCCCAGAACGGCAATAACCTGGCCAACCCCCCTTCCCCTAACAAAATCCTTTCCTCGCCTCCTCTGATGAGTCCGGTATGCCTGATACAGTCAATGTCCCTGGTAATGCCGTCCAGAACTTCAGGATGTTGCAATGTACGATGTGAGGGAGGATGTGGAAGAAAACATATTTTATATATATAAAAAAAGATTACTCGAGGTCTGAAATTTCAAAATGTTCGGTTTGATTGGCATGCGACGAACACTCTCTGCAAGGCATGTAATAATGTGTGCTCCGAGTGGGCTTTAGGGACCAATGGAGCAAGCAGCTTTTTAGCTATCGACATGTCTGACACTGTGGTGCACTGCTCCCCACGATAATTGAGAAAGCGAATGGGTTCGTCTCGCGAAAGTGTGACGCCAATGACAGCGCGCGAATGGAATCGAATTGGAGAACAAAATCAGACCCCGAGTTGTAACACGAGCATTGCGTGCGATTTATTAGCAGCGGTGTGAGGCCAGACTGAGGCAATACAGTACTGTACTGTGCAAGCTACTTTCTGAATAGTACAATATGAAGGCAGACCTGACGACGACATGAGATTGGTGCAAGAAAGATGTTGGCACGAGACAGAGGAAAGTGGAAACAAATTACGAAATGTGCAGTGGACACCTACGAGCTGTAAGCCCATGGATCGTGATGATGATGACATAAAGTAAATAACTACATCATTTGTCACGCTCGTGACATGCGTTAGGCAGGTGTCCGACGCGTCAGACGAGAGCTCGGTGATGCCAGAACAAGTCAATGTCTCCCTCCTCGAAGGAGCGGTGCTCATGTATGTTGAACTTCTTTCGCACCGTACGTTGCCAACCATGATAATCAGAGGTGCGGGGGTGGGGGAAGAACAACAACATAAACACAAAAAGCAGTCCTAAAAGAAATTAGTTTTCAGTCTAGATTTAAAAGTGGATAGCTCCAGTGGCTTCCTAATATCGGAAGAGCGTTCCAGACGGCCGCAGAAAGCGCATCTGAAAGTGAGCGATGCAGTGGCCGTCTTTGTTCGATGGTTATCCAAAAGCCACGACGAGAATGACCGGAGTCTGCATGATAGTTTATTCTCCTTGACATGATCAGCAAGGTATTGTGGTTCATTTGTGGTAATTACTTTGTGTCATCCTCCATTGGCCCACGGCGGAAATTCCACATTATCATGATAGGGGCAGTGCCATCCAGAGAATGTCCGCTGTTGACTTCCCACAATTTGCTACTCGTTTTGTCTACCCCATTGCGGATGATACTGCAATACATATTGTCTTATTACTTGTTTGCGTTTGTGATCGTGTGAACATGGGTGAATGTATGTCTGTGTATGCTTACATGCATGTACGAGTGCCTATATATACTGAATGTGCGTGTGTGTATGTGCTCCGCGCGTTCAATTCCTCGCCACGGCTAAGATCAATCGTGAGCAGTGTCATATCTAAACCTACCAAGGGGGTTCCTACACTAGGTGAACGTTGCCTACAAAAAAAAAGCTTTGGCGGGATGCAAGGCCGTAGCCATGGAGTGAACATTGGGGGAGACTAAATCTTCCAGGGGGTCTGGGGTCCCCCCCCCCTCCAGGAAAAAATCTGAATTTTAAAACGAATTTCCTGCCTAAAATATTTTAAAAATTCACCAACACATAGGATGGACTTTTTATTTATTTTTTACAATAATGTCTAGTAGTGTATTGTATTACATTGCTCTGTTTTTTTACCTTTTCTTGTTTCATTGTATGTAATGGCAGAGATTAGGGATTAATAATGTACAATCATAACCGCAATCATATAAACAGAAATCTATTTATAGCAATATATATGGGGGGGGGGGGGGTCATTTTGAGCATATTTTAATATTGGCGGGATGACAGGGTGGGCCGAGCGTTGATATTTTGTCACACAACCGACATTTGACGGCGGGAGGTGCCTCGCTGCAGCACTTGCCCCAGCAGTGATCGCGCAGGGCCAGACGGCCACGACGCCTGGTGGGGTCTTTGTTGTCAACTGAGCGAGCCCAGCCCGATCCAACCAGCCTCGACTCGCCGACTCCCGACCGGAGCAGTGGAAGAAGCTTGCCGCGCGGCTGCAGTGGATTCGCCGGCCCTGCGTTCGACTAAGAGCTTACCGCAATGATTGCTGCGATTAGCATTGAGGGTTCAGTTGGCTTTAGAGTGCGCGCATTAAAACCAAAATTACCCAAACTTGTTTTTTGACTGGTTTAAGACAATGGCATGACAATGGGGCGCGTGCGTTTGAGAGTGCGCGCTGTGTGTGTCACGCCAAGAGCACTTAACGCAAAGGGCCCGTGTAGGCGACACGGGGGGGGGGGGGTCTTTTTGTCTTTGCGCGTGTTGTGGGGAGCGGTAAGAGTCGTGGTTAGCGCTACGCCGCGCTAGGAACCCCAGCGAACCCGAGTTCGATCCCCGCTCACGGCCAACACCGGTCCTGGGCCTCCCCTAGGTCGACTCAGCCTCCAATGAGTACCTGGTGCGGTAGTGTAAACATCGCCACGTGGGAGACAAAGGCGGCCGGGCGTTGTTCTGGCCACCCACCCCCTCGCTTGCTCACAGCACTTGTCCTAAAAGTATACTCGGTCTAATACGGGGGATATTTGTCCTTGTATGTGTAATAGGGCTGAACGATTAATCGATTTCAGATCGAAATCGCAATTTGAAACAATGTGATTAGCAAATCTCAAAGGCTGCGATTTTTTGCGCGTCTTTATTTAACTTAACAATTGTTCTGTGTTTGATTGTTATATTTCAATTAACACATTTTTAATAAATACATGTTGCAAGCAATTCATATATTTTAAGTTATCATCCTTGCATTAGAATATATAGAGCAGTTCATATTTTGATGGTAGCATGCGGTAATGCTACGTCACATGTTTTTAATCTAGTACACAGTGAATATTGAACTGAAGCTTGACTTTTAAAAATGTAATCGCAAATCAAATCGCAATATCGGAAAAATCGCAATTAGATATTTTCCCCCAAATCGTTCAGCCCCAATGTGTAATAGGTGCTCGCGAACAGTCTGAAAAGCTATAGGGAGCAAATGTTTCGTTTGTTTGTTCGAGTGTGAACCCCAGCGACCTGAGTTCGATTCCCGGAACACGGCTACCACCAGTGGCGAGTTGATAACCCCAACTCAGCTCAACGTGAGCAACAGTCGCTATGCAAGGGCATTAAGCACGGGGAGACAAAGGCGGCCTGGCGTGAAGCTAATTGACCAACATCACCCCCGTTGTGCGCGCCCTGTGCTGCCTTAATAGGTGCTCGCTAACAGTGGTTGCCCGAAATTGCTGTACAATGTTTTTTTTTGTGTAGGAACGAAATGAAGTTGTCAACGACAGAACATGCTGAGAATAGATTAGACTCACAAAGACAAAGATCCCCCGTGTAGCCTTAAACTTGTTGGGGCAAGTGCTGTTAGCGAACACCAATGAAGGCACGGCACGGTACGCATGGGGGTTGGGTGGCCAGCACCACGCCCGACCGCCTTTGTCTCCCCAGTGGCAATGTTTACACACCGCACCAGGTACTCATTTGAGGCTGAGCCGACCTAGGGGGAGGGGCCCAGGACCGGTTCAGATAATCGTCACTGATGTTGGCCGTGAGCGGGGATCGAACTCGGGTTCGCTGGGGTTCCTAGCGCAGCGCACTAACCACTACACTACCGCCCCCCCACGCCCCCCCCACGGCCCCCCACGCACACACACTACTAACACGCTCTCAAACTCCACACAAACGACAAACTAAAAATTCCTCCACATAACCTTCACAGCCCGTTGGGGGGTTAGGTACTGTTAGTGAGCATCTATTTAAACAGCCGGTACGGTACACGAGAAGGTGGATCAGGCCGCACCAACCACCCAGCCCGGCCGCCTTTGTCTCCACACGTGCACGTACAGTCTTAACACGACACTACACCCCCTGCACTTTCAAACTGCCCACGAAGACGGAGAAGCTCCCAATTATGGAACTTTGGTGGGGGGCTTTATTTTATTTTTAAAAAACCGATACTAATCTCTAGTTACATTACAGAACTGTGTGTCCCCACGTGCAGGCTTCCACCACGGGTCAAAAGACAACAAATCTCTCAACGTGTCCCTCCTCTGTCTCTCGCCTGACTCAGAAGCACGCGAAATCCGCGGACACCGCATGGAAGCTGTGATGATGATGATCGCGAGAGCGCCTCACCTGTCCGTTGTCTTTGTCTCTCCTTCGGGTACGAGGACACATCCGCACGTGTGGCGGTGCGGCTCCTTGCCCTCCGTGTGTGTGTGTGGTTGAGACTGGATGGAGCGAGGCTGGTGAGATCGGGCGCACGTGGATCTTACTCCGAGAGAGACTGGAGGATGGTGCGATCAGTGATGCGATGTAATAGTGGGTAAACGCACAGACATCTCGATAAACACAAGACAAAAGTGGCTTAGCGCCACGCCCGACCCGCACTCGGTACTTATTTAAGGCCGAGTCGATCTGGGGGAGGACCGGTGCAGATAATCGTTACCGGTTGTTGGCCGTGAGCGGGAATTGAACTCGGGTAGCTGAGTACGTGGGCACGTAGCGCAACGCGCCACCCACTCAGACATCCACTCACCCACTAAATATGCATACACAGACACACGTACAACTATACTCCATACACACACACATACAGATATATACACATGTAGACGCATACAGCTACAGTACACGCACAGACGATTACAAATTACCACACACGAGAGAGAGAGAGCAATGCTCACAATACGCCAAACAACCCTGCTAAAAATCTGCTGGCTCACAAACACATTGGATTTGGTAGACAAACACACAAACGCGTGATCTCACAGACCGCCAGACAGACACTCTCATATAGCGTATACTCTCACGCACACACACACACAAAGGATCCCCGGTATAACCTTAACAGACTGTAGGAGGGGGTAGGTGGCCAGCACCCACGCCCGACCGCCTTTGTCTCCCTAGTGGCGATGTTTACACACCGCACTCGGTACTCATTTGAGGCTGAGTCGACCTAGGGGAGGCCCAGGACCGGTTCAGATAATCATCACTGGTGTTGGGAATCAAACTCGGGTGGCCGGTTCCGTGGCGCAGCGCGCGAACAACTTCACTACGGCCCCCCACATATACATACACTTACACATACAGTACACTGTCACATACAATCTAACACACGTGCATACCGACACAGACGCGTACACACACACGCACCTCTGGAGAGACAAAGCGAAAACAAGACCGGCGAGTGATCCAGCCAAGCCAGACTGGCTGTTGTTTCAATGCAACCACTCAACCATCCACTCAAACACACCCATTCACCAACTAATTCACCCACCCACTCACCCACCTATTCACAGAACCATCCACACCCCCTACCTTTAATACACACACACACATCCCTATTCATCCACGAATTCAAGCACAATTAACAACTCAACAAGTTCGCCTTAAAAGGGAAGTAATATAGTCGACAACGTTTCGGGCAATTGCCCTTTTGTGTTTAGTTTTTTATTTTATTTTCGCGTATTCACCACTGCCAACGCAGGGTACAAGATAATGAAGTCACCCACCCACTAATTCATTCACTCAACATTTAATTCACCTATCCACCCACTCACCAATCATACCCCGTACGCCGTCCACACAGCTCCATTGTTGGGATTCGTGTGATTTGTGGTGGGGCGTAGTTTGATTTACATGATTGTATAATCCACAAAAGTATGTGTGTGTGCTGTAGTCTCGTAGTGTAACGTGATGACAGTATTGTACAGTAATGTATCTGACATTAGTGTCGCAGCTCGATGTTTTTTTTTAAACGAGAATCCTCATTTATCATGGCTTGACTAAGTTTTATTTATTTTTTGGTTTGGTTTTCGAGGAATCCGCAAAGTCAGGAGAAAACCCCACACCACAAACAAAGGAGATAAACCACTTAAAATCAGCACCCCGAGAGATTCGCTACCCATTTTCTCTCCTGCCGATTCGCTGTACGTGCCCTGTGGGATGAGGTTGTAGTTCACACACAGAGACGCTGATGTGCAAAGTGAGATAGACACCTGGCGTTCTGGTAAAGATACGCCATCTATAGATTGCAGGACAGAGAAAGTGGGATGTTGATTTTTATGCGTGGATTTTAAGTAGTGTCCCCTCTTATTGTGTGGGGTTTCTGCAAGACACTGGTTTCCTCAAGAATGTCGGGACAAATGCTTATCGACAAGGAATTGCCCAAACATTTCAATGGACTCTCGTTAAACAGTCTTGAGATTAAGCGAGGCTTTTCTTGATAAATAATTAACCTTTTATCTTATTTGGTCATTTATCCCCAAGTTTATCCCTATTGTCTAATTTCAAGGGAGGAAGTGCCCATTTCATTCTCACACAGAGCAATGAATCCTTGTGTGCTAGAAAATGGCCCATGGAAGCGGATATCACAGAGCTACATTTGAGATTTCTTTAAAATGTTTTATAAAGGATCCCACATTTGTATTTCTTGAGCCATTGGTGGAAATTGCACATTCCCATGACGGAGCCAAGTTCGTCCAAGTCCGTAGAAAGTCAACGACCACTTTTACCGTTTCACCCAACGTTTGCGGGTTCTGCGTGTGTTCACCTTGCTCTCGCTGTGAAACGGAGCTGTTCTAGTATCTGAATGGAAATCTGAACAGAGAAGTTGGAATTGAAATAAGTGAGGAGCTATGGAGCGTGGCAGTGTAGGGCGTGACATGGGGTGACGAGTTCAGAGTTGGGCAAACAACAACAACCACCATCATCATAATCAACCGTGATCTATCCACTGCTGTACGAAGGTCTCCGCATGGCACCGCCACCGTTTATGGTCACGTGGTGCAACAAATCATCAAGCTCCCGCAGCTTAGTCGATTGAAAACGTAAACAATTTAAAAGAAAAATAGAGCCTAAATCATGTGAGATGACCTCCTGTAGGTCACCTCAGCCTGAAATTAGTTCCCGGTGAATGGGTCCTCCTGTAGGTCACTTCAGATTGAAATAATTATCGTCAGGCCCTTTGGCTATTGCTTTGTTTAATGTTTACCACTCACATGTCGAACGAGGGCAATGTAATGAGTAACGAGTATCGCGAGCGAGCACCGATTACAGAACACATACCAACTGTAGCTACTCTTTTGCACTACAGTATCTGTATGTTAGTTAAACTTGGTGAATGGGTCTCCAGGACGTCAACGCAGACTAAAATGTGTACCTGAAGGTGAGCTCTGCCTTGAATGTGTATCCGGTTCATGGGGCTCTCGTCGGCCAGCTCACACTAAAATTATTTTCTATATAAATGACCTGTAGGTCCACTGAGGCAAACATTAGTACAGTACTCAGTGACCGGGCGTCTTTCAGGCAATGTTTGGGAAAATACCACGAAAATGAGACAAAATAAACCTCAATGGGTCGTGACCTGGTTACATTCGGGACAACGTAATGATTCGTATGTAAAGTTGGTGGATCATGTACAGATCTTCAGACACCAAACTTGCAGGGTTAATAATATAATTACGGCCCGTGAATGGTAGGAAAAAAATTTAGATATGTTACATGCGGTCTGTACGGATTGCATCAGTGTCCATGGCTAATATCCATGGGGTTTCTCTTAGCGCCCCACTTTATTCCCACAACTCATTAATTGCTCAATAAGGAAATTGCCAAAGTCATTACAATGCTAATACCCTCCTGCAAATGTCCCTGAGTCTCGGTGAGGCTTTCCGACCCTCATTGTTATCCCTGTTTTAGGCAGTGGATAGCGACACACCTCTCCATTCATATGAACTAAGATGATATAAATCTAAGACATAAAATGCTTTGTTTATTATGTAACCCTTTCCAACACGCGTTTGTCCTTGGACAGTATTTAATTCGCAGCACATAACTCGACGGGCAGCTGATAGGGCAAAATGCACTTGCATATTTGGCATGAGCAGGCAACAAAAAATAAACTCGGCACATTCGTAAATAACACTGCTTTAAACGAAAAGATATATACTATGGGACGTTTCAGGCAATGAATGTTTCGTGGTAAAGTTCCAATGCATATAGATGCTTGTAGGAGTTGACACCTGAGAGCAGTGGTTCTCATCCAGGGATACATGAGTTGATTTATAAATGTGTAAAATTATACTCTTTGGTTCTATTCGGTAAAGTCACGTAAAAGTATATATATAAAAACAAATTTCACGACGTTTCGGCTACAACACAAGTGGCCTTCATCAGGTGAAGAGATAAGACTGTCTCGAGGACAGCGCTGGAGTGAACACAGCCAAGCTTAGACCGCGACCTTTAAGCTTGTGTGAGAGGAATTAAGGTGCCTTGACAAAGGAATTAGCATAAAAAACGTCGTTAATTTTTTTTATTTTTTGTTGTTTTATACTTTTACGTGACTTTACCGAATAGAACCAAAGAGTATGGATCCTTGCAGTCACGAAAGCTTCAAATCTAGAATTGATAACCTCTACGGGGAGGGCTTTCACCTATCTGTTAGAGCTTTTAACAGACAACGGGACAAGAAGTCACAGCTCATCGAGATGCTGACCTTCCTCAAAAGATGCCGCGATCACAAGGTAATACCCATCGCTTTCACACTCACTTCTGTTGCTGTATCTTCGCTGAATTCTAAACAGATTCTGTTTAAGGCCAGCCAATCTTTAATCTCAGAGGATAAGGCTACTCCGATTTGAACTCGATACTTTAGACAGGACTCTCCTACGAGCTCATTTAATGTTAATACAAAAAATGTCACCTTCTGATTGGAATCACGTAGACAACATGACTGCTTCTTCTGCTGATTCACTGTCAGTCAAATGCAAAGCAAACCTGATTTCTAAATTCAACCACCTATCAAAGAAGAACACAGTTCCACATATAACAAAACTAGACGTCAACAAAATCGTCATTAATCAGAGTAGCACCCCGATTTCGGACAATCTGAAAACAGTACTGGCTAGGGGGCTACATTTTGCTGTCACCCCAAAACACATACCAGTAGATGATATCATCTCTCAGGTCGATGTAGCCCTCAAAGGTGTAGGACACATCCAAGCAGACGTTGCGAGAGCTGAAATAGCCACTATTCTTAAGAATGCTAAGAAACCCATTAGCAACATCAGCAAAAAATGAACGCTCTGAACTCGCGAATTTAAAAAAAAACAGACATGACATAGTCATCCTCTCAGCCGATAAAGGCAACGCTACTGTAATTATGGGTAAAGATTCATACAACAAAATCCAGAATCTGCTCAGCGATGGAAGTTACTCAAATGTTAAAAATGACCCTACTAATAGCCTAGCGATAAAAACCAACAAGATCATCACAAGTTCGACCTCCCTAATCGATCCAACTAAACATCCCTCCCTAAAACCTTCTGCTGCAAGACCCCCTAGATTCTATGGTCTTCCCAAGATTCATAAAGAAGGCACCCCACTACGACCCATCGTATCCACGATCAACTCCCCTACCTATAGATTAGCCTGTTTTCTG